TCCGGGAAGCCGGCCGGCAGCTCCCGGAGCCTCCCGCTGCTCTTCCCTAGGTCAGACAAGCTGGAGAAGGAGGTGGCCACGCTGCGGGAGAAGATCCACCACCTGGACGACATGCTGAAGAGCCAGCAGCGCAAAGTGCGCCAGATGATCGAGCAGGTGAGCGCGGCCGCCGCGGGCGAGGGACGGGCCACCGTGCGCCCATTTGGCCCCCTGGAAGAGTTGAATGGAGGCCACTTCCCCCGTGGCTTCATCCTTGGTGTCACCTGGGGCTTTGGGGCTGGTTTTGACGCGGCGCGTGCGGCCGGTGTCGCGGACGGCGGCCTGCGCTGCCCTCCGGCCCGAGCGTTAACCAGAGGGTTTGCAGCGGCCGTGACCTTCCTCTTGCAGCTGCAGAACTCCAAAACGGTGATTCAGGCCAAAGACGCCGAGATCCAGGAGCTCAAGGAGAGGGTGTCATACTTGGAGGCTGAGGTGCGTCCCTGGGCGGGGAGGCTGCTCGAAGCTCAGAGCCTCTTGTTGAAATTCCCTGCTGCAAACGGCTTCAGCACTGGAAATCTGCCTGGTTCTGGGCAGAACGGCCAGCAGGGAAGCTGCTTCCCTGCAGCGATGCCGTTTGGAGCCGGGGAACGGGCCCTCGGCGGCCCCGAGGGCTGCGGTGGTTGCTAAGAGGGCCGGGGTTGCTGGAGCAGCTGCAAACTCGAGCTGAGATCAAAATAATCTCGTCAAGCAGCTTCCCTGGCAGCAAAACCCCCTCGCTTACAAAGCTGGAGTTGGCTGCGTGCGTGCCAGAAATCCAAGCTGCCTTCCAGCCCCGAGGGTTGTGATACATGTCAAACTCCTTTTTTTGGATAAAATCAGAGCCTGTACTGGTGGCTCTGGCCCTTTCATCTCTCCTTGGCGACCTCCTTTGCTGGTGGCTGCAGGGGACGGTGCCCGGAGTGCTCCGTGGAGCCAGGCAGGGAGCAGAACGGGCTCCTGGAACGCACCGGATTGTTGTGGGTCCCGGTGGGCTCCCAGTGAGATCTTCCCGAGCCTCCCCGGCTGTCGTGTCCGTGCGCGCTCCCTCTGGAGCGCCGCCTTCCTCCCCCCTTCCCAGACGAGCTGTCCCGTTGCCGGAGGTTATCCCGGGGAATCCCTCCGGCCCCGGCTCACCGCGGCCGCCGTCTCCTTGCAGAACCTGGAGATGCACGATCGCATAGAGCACCTCATCGAGCAGCAGGTCAGCCGGGGCGGCCACAGCTCCCGGGCGCGCTCCAAGTCGGAGCACGTGAGCAGGTAACGTGGCCGGCGCGTGTCCCC